CCGAAAAAATCACCTTTTCACAAGAATATGACAGCCGTTCTTCAGCTTCAAGTTCAGTTAATGACCTTTGGCCCCATGTTTTCGCAGCCAACTCCACAGCTTCCTCAGCCAATTTCAACTTCTCCTTTGATAGTGGGCAAGGGAATAGGCTCTCATTTACCTGAAGTGTGATTCAATAACATCAAGATCACCGCGCATATGGAAAGAGGTTAGGCGTAAATAGGTTCAAATCAATTGAATGATTCCAACCTTCCATGTTTTTTTGGGAGGAGGTTTCTTTACAGAAACAAAAACTCCTTCAATTGACCTTACAACTCTGCATCAGCGACGGTGTAAGAAAAAATGGCATTCAATACCTTGCGCTGTGGAAATTGCTTTTGAATAGAGTATAATGATTGCAATAATACATTTGGATGCGGTGTGACCAATCAGATATCATTTCTCACAAATTTATGGAACAGTTATTCCAATCTCATCTAACTGGACGAATGCTTTAAAACAGTAAAGCTTCATACAGAAAAATTATAATTATGAAAAAAATAAATTTGATAGATACAAACTAATACAAATATCACATATATTTAGGTATTGCATAAGGTTTAGAGTTAGATCATACCTTGGCATCAACATCTCACGTAACTTCAACCTTGCCATAAATTCTGCATTACCACCAAGGATAATATCAGTCCCACGACCAGCCATATTTGTTGCAATAGTAACTGCCCCAAGACGACCGCTTTGAGCTACAATTTCAGCTTCTCTTTCCACATTTTCAGGTTTGGCATTCAGAACCTAGTAATATTACATGAAATGAGAATCCCCCAAAAGAGTAGAAAATATGATAGTTGTGATCATCCACCTCTCACAGTGCAAGAATAAAATGCAATGTTTTTGCACCAACCTCATGTGGAACTCCAGCTTTACGGAGCTGTTCGGACAATGCATCACTCTGCTCAACACTAGTTGTTCCAACAAGAACAGGTCGACCTGTTTTATTCATCCGAGATATCTCTACTACAACAGCCCGCCATTTCCCTGTAGTTGCCCTGAACACTACATCTGATTCATCCTTTGGGGCGTGGTTAAGAATAGAAGTTAATAGAATTTCTTAACTTATAAATTAAGTTGTACTGGAAAAAGAGTGTTAAAAGGAATGAAGTAACAACACGTGATGCATTGGAAATATCAAACTATCATACAATTCATTTGTTCACTTGTGAGTTGTCCCACATCGTTTATACAGGAAAATAAGTATGGCTTATAACTTATAAGCCTAGTGAGCTCATCCTCCTACCACCAATTGGTTTTGGGATGGAACTCACTAAGGTGCAACTAGGCTCACCCGCTTCACTGTGTGGGACCGCACCCCTGATGCCCCGATTATCAGTTCTACGTGCGACCGTGCGATAACGCCCCGTCACCCAGCCATCACAAGTGAAGGGGCGTATTATAATACCACTTGCAAGTTCTCCCACATCGCCTATACCGGGAACATAGGTCTAACTTATATGCCTAGTGGGCTACTCCTCCCAGCAACCAATTGGTTGGTTTTGGAATGAAACCCCACTTGGGCTTTATCTGGCTTCCCCTGTTATGGTACGTTTCACGTGCATGGGACCGCAATCGTTCTACCCCTGATTTCTTACACTTTAAAAGGGTTCAAATGTTTTTCCTTTTATAGCTTTTTCAGTCTATATCCAAATTATACAAAAACAAACACGGTAAAACCCATAAATAAACCGATAGAAGACATGCTCACAAACACACACCAAAAGATGGGGAGGAAAAAAAAAGGAAAGAATTGAATAGAAAAACCTTTCTCATCATGGGCTTGTTTGTAGGAACAATTGTAACTTTGAGCTTGTATATACTCTCAAATTCTGCCCTCTCAGTAGCAGCAGTGCCAGTCATGCCACAAAGTTTCGGGAACTGCATAAAGCATCATAACTGAATATCAGAATTTACCGTAGGAAAAAAATCATGATAAGACATAAATCACAAAGTGAGACTGGAAAAATCACTCAAGAGGTAACAGAAAACCTGGAGAAAGAAATTCTGGTAACTAATTGAAGCCAGGGTCACTGTTTCATTTTGTATGGGCAGTCCCTCTTTTGCTTCAACTGCCTGGTGAAGTCCATCACTCCAGCGTCTTCCCTATGAGATAATGAACCAACTATACTTTTAGTTCCAGATCTAGGAAGAAAGGATTACATCAAATAAACGACTAAAGATATCTGTTCAGACAGTGACTGATTTTGTAATTGGACTTTGTGAAAATATGAAGAATATACACTTAAATGTTTGGTCAGTGTTTTGAAACAAACAGCCACTAGCAATATGATGCAGCAGCAAACTAAAGCAATAATAATTCTCATAAAATTAACTGACTAGTGCATATTGAACTAGGAACTAGGAAAGGAGCAAGAGATAAAGGCATAAACAAAATCAAGGGGGATCAAAAGTAATAAATGGGCCTGGGTAGAACTCGTCTCCAAAAGCTACCTCAAAGGGAGAGGGTGCCCAACCCACATTTATACACAATAATAACAGAACAGTACCTAATCGAAACATAATTTCTAACAAAAAGGAAATACACGAAGGCTTGACAGATGGGTGGAGACGAAAGGAGTATTGGTGGACAGATAGAGATGGATACAAACGCAGTTCCCATCAGAGTACAACATAGGACATGCTCACAGGACTGTTGGATAAATTCATACGTCGAAGAATGAAATAGACTTGTTCATTTTATATCTTATTCTATGAGCACTAGTAAGTTAGTACGATATTCACCTGCATTACCCGGCCAGTAAATTCATCTACTATAAGAACCTCCTTGCCTCTGATTATATAATTTACGTCTTTAAGAAAAAGTTCCTTAGCTTTTACAGCATTTAATATGTATGATGCCCACTGCTCCCTTGGATCATACAAATCTTTTACATCTAGAATTTCCTCAGCATCTGCATATCCCTGTTCTGTAAGTAAAACTGTTTTTTGTTTCTCATCAACCTGCATATATATGTCGCTATTTCAGTTAGTAGTTGTAACATCTTTATTTGGCCAAATGGAAATACAGTAATACCAGTGGTATATGCTCAAGTTTAAGTATGAAAAACTATATAGTAAGGGAAACTATATATAGTTTTCCAATACATTTAAGGATTTAATGATATATAGCAGCATTCATAACTCAAACTATAAATTCTAGAAGAGCTTGTTTCCTAATATTTAGCGTGACATCAAACTCTTACTGTTAGAAAGAAGTGGGTCTCTTTCAAATGCATAGCATAAAAAACAATGGTCCCAGTTAGTTTAATTTCTCACTGTATAGTGTATATCTCTCTCAAAAGCTGTGGCCATTTTAGCAGCTTTATAGTAACGATCACTTGGTTTCTCCGCA